GCCTCAAAGGGTTTAACTGATTATGCCGTTTAAAATACGGAACACAGGCAAATAGCCACGAAACTGATCGCACTGACTAACAACCTGATCTCAAACATATAATGTGTACCCGGGTTACTTGACTGGTGCATCCATAAAACACAAAGCATATCCACGTTACTGGATTGTGTTGATATATCCACGCAGAAAACTCAATGCAACGTGTACTGGACTGCTAGCAAATCCGCGTTTGCAAACTGAATATTCTAGAATTACAAGGTACAGTTATATAAACACACCACTGGCCCAAAGGAGTCCACGACGTGCGATTTTCTATTTGTTCATCGTTCCGTGAAGCAATTCTTCCTAACCTGCCACCCTGCCAAACAAACGAATCTTGAGGCCAACAAACACACACACACACACACACACACACACACACACACACACACACACACACACACACACACACACACACACACAATCACACAGTTTCTACATAATCACGCAGATCACCTATCTCCAACGGTGCGGTCTATCCACCTGTGTCTTGGTGTGTATAGTCTATTTTCTTTAGTCCTGTGCTTCAAATCTGATAAATAAACCCTCCTGGTTCTATATAGAGTTGTATTGTTATACCCTATAGTTTGCCTATGTATCGGGAGGACCTGACACCTCTCCTGGAGATTGCCACAAGTAAAAACAAGGCCAGTGTTACAACAACGCGGTTGTAAATAGAATAATAGGTGTTGACACAGTCTTCGTTTGGGGCGGCTTAGATCAGAAACGTAGCTGAACAATAAAAGTTCGTTGTGTGTATGGTTAGTTGGTTGGTTCGTTGGTTTCCTCGTTTGTTTTTCCCAGAAACAGTGCCCGTTTAAGCATGTCATAGAGGGCAACTAATCAGGGGTGTTTCCTTTGCAGTCCTTTAAAGTCGGAGTGCATCCGCCTCAGAGGCGGGGAACCAAAAGTCTACAACCAGCAAAAGCGAAGGATAAGAAGAGAAGGTTAGTTGGTTGACTGCCTGGTTGACTGATTGATTGACCGACCCAGTGACTTGTTGTTTGATTGATTGGTTGGTTAACTAGTAGGTTGGCTGGATGACTGACTGGTTGATTGGTTGACTCTCTGGCTAGTTGGCGATGTGGTTAATTCACTGGCCGACTCTCTAGTTAGCTGGTGGTATGGTTAATTCACTGGCCGACTCTCTGGTTTGCTGGTGGTGTGACTGGTTGAGAGACTGGTTAGCTGGCACACTGAAGCGCTGAAAGGGTATCTGAGACTTATTCCCGTTGAATTTACATCTGAACTATGAATCTTTTGGCAGTAATTCAGGTGAGGGAATGAAACATACACACACCACATGCATGCATGTCATACAGACAGATAGGCACGCACGCACACACACACACACACACACACACACACAGACACACAGACACACACACACACACTCACAGAGACAGAAAGACAGACAGACATACATGCACACACACACATACATACACACACACACAAGAACGCACTGTCAATCAGACTTAACTCGTTTAACAGACTCTAAAGCAGTGTTTCACAACGTGAGACCTACGCCCCACATCGGAGGGATTGGGGGGGGGGGGGGGTGACGGTTAAAGGGTGCAATCTGATTGTTTGCACTCGAAAATCGCACTTAACCTCTTTCCCTGAATCTACACGCCTGGTCGAGAGGTCACAAAGGGAAATGAGCGAGCGAACCAACTGGCAAGCACTGCACCAAGGCATGTGGGAAGAAGCATGGACGGACTGGACTAGTGGATAACGAGGAATCCCTGACACTAACACGATTGTGTGACATGGGAGTAAAGCATGGTGTTGCAAATCTATGCCGTCTTCGAGCCGATATAATATAACCCTTCTCACGGGAACAAATAGTTGAAGTACTTTGGAGTGGCTGCTGCATCGCAGGACTGAGCACGCATGGCAATGCCCAGTGTGCAGTGACGTCGATTTTAAAAACATAACATGATATGCCTGTTAAGGGGCTTATTGAAAAATGGACTCGCCTCAAGTTTCATTTACATGGGGAAGGTGGGGGGCATAACAATTTTAAAAAGGTTCAGGTGGGGCGCACCGCAACAAAAAAAGGTTGAGAAACACTGTTGTAGAGCAAGTGCAGTACCACGGATCTCACATCCCTCACACCTTTTACCGTACCACTTATAATGTGACCCAAACGGAAACGCGATAAAGATCTGCAAGGATCTGTTTTCGCCTTCCATTTATACCTCGGGTATTGCATTACACACGACGTCGCTGTACCGGGACCTTGTTCTCCCCCCCCCCCCCCCCAACCCCCCGTCCCTTCTAATGTGCATGTCGATATGCACAGAAACGTCTTAACGTGGTCCCTTGTTTTGGAAGACTAGTGTGACCCAAAACAGAAAGAAGCCGTGATGTCAAGGATACGACCGGAGTGTGCGGTTCTAATGTCTCGGAACGTGGTCGCCCATTTGTCATGCAAGTTTTGTGCAGTTCGAACCGGGAAAACATGTCAGAGGACAATGGAAGGTCGGATGTTTACCTGTGCTGGAGCAGGGCTCGCAAACCTACTTGTTGACAAACAGGCTTTAGGTGTACTCGGGAATAATAAATCATGCCTAGATGGTGGGTTGCAAGGCTCGTGAAAGTAAAAGATTGTAGACAGGGAATAATTGTATAAAGACGCTTGGTTTTTGAGGGAATCACTGATGGAAGTTATACTCTGTCTTAAGCGTGTCCCGTTTAGGTTCCTCTGTGGCTTCTGTATTAGACATCAGTCAGGCTAAACATTCAATTCCGTCTGAGTCGGGGTTGCGTGGTCTCGAGGCATGGTGTCCGCCAGGCCTCGAGTGCTAGAGGTCCCGGGCTCAAACCCCAGTGAAGGCCGGGATTTTTCACGTGGAATTTTAGTAATTTCTCCTGGTCTCTGGGTAGTAAGACCGGACGCCCGTGTGTATTGTTGCGCATGTAAAAAAAAAAAAAAATATCTTGGCAGTTGGATATAAAAAAGATTTGCATAACGGCGCTGCCTGGGCAAAATGTAGACCTACAGCAACCTATCAAGCATGTCCTAACAGGCAAGTAATTACACGTTTGCTGAAAATCGCAACAAAGCGTACCAGCCGTCAGTTGAAGGGTGAATTCAAAAGAAAAAAAAAAGAGAATTACGTAGGTCTTTCTCAGAAAGATATGCGCAGCTGAAATCTGCAAGCACTAGTTATTTTTACTGCCACACATGTACTGCCTTCCTGCTTTTTTAAGAATATCTTTGTGGTGGCAACCGCGTGTGTCATGCTGTTTGAAGTTGTCAGACTCACGACCTCCTATGTACCACGCTAACCCCGCCCTACACTACCATAAAAGTGGTACATAAATGAAGAAGAAATGGATAACATTTCGACGTGTCCCCCTCCAGGACTGCAACTTGCAAGATGAAACTCATGATCCATAGCCACTATTAGAATGCGAATTCAACATAAAAATATTTTTTTTTTACCGGCAATTAGCTAGGGTGGAAAGTCCTGGTTGTTCGTCCATTTGGACTTTGGCTGTGTGCCAAGGCCTGAGTTTTGCGTGTACTATTTTCCTGAGAAAGAAATCAAAAGAAGAAGAAGAAAAGCGGGCACCATACATCGAGACCACTCAAAGTAATAAAAGTGCCGTTAATGATGGTGGTTGGAGTTGAAACTGGGTATTTATAGAACCCCCTCCGCCACAAAAGGCCGAATAGTTGCCTAATCTAATGTATCTGTAAACTGCAACGCCAAACGCCAACAAGGGTACAAACAGAAAATTAACTAAAAATCACTTCTTATCATAACAATGAAAGAACACAAACTCATGAAAATGTTGCATCGCTCTATCATAACAGGTTACTCCGCTTTGATCAACTATGCTTCGACGAAAGTGTTATATTGAGCTATAAGGAGACACTGATGGCGATGGAGAGTGTGACTACCGGAATATATGCTGTACATTTATTTTACCAGTATAATTATTAAATACTAGATCACAGCCTAAAACAAGTACAAGAATTTAAATACTTGGGAAGTATCTTTACATTCAATGGTAAAATAGACAGAGAGATCGAAGCAAGAACCCAACAAGCCATAATGTCGCATACCTGCTTGCCCCAATTTTAAAACACCCTGCTGTCCCAGCTGAGATAAAAAGACAAATTATAAATACAATCTTTATACCGACATTAGGTTATCAATGTCAGACTTGGACATTAACAAAAGAACACGAGAGAAGACTAACCACCTGTGAAATGAGATGTTTGAGAATGGCTGCGAATAAAAACCAGAAGAGATCGAGTGAGAAACGATGTGATTACAAGAACTATTGGAACCATACCCATCGTTAAATTTATTGAGAAGCAAAGAATGAAATGGTTTGGTCACCTAATGAGAATAGAACCAACGATGCCAGCATCAAGAGCATACAACATGAAAATCGAAACACCAAGAGGCAGGGGAAGACCAAGAAGAATATGGATTGAAGGAGTCACGGACAACTTGAGACTTCATAACATCACGGCATATGAAGCGACTGAGCGCGCCCTGGCTCGGTTGCCGATCATCTGATAGACTGCGACGCCTAGCGGCACAAGCAGATTTTGACAAAAGAAGAAGAATAACTAAATAACATTCAACACTACAGACGCCCCCACTTCTACCACCAACATCATTATTTCAACTACCAAAACTGCTACAACCTTCAAAACGAATAGTGCACATACTACGACTGCAACAACCACCCCCATCAACTCTACTATTACGGCCATCACTACTACTACTACTACTACTACTACTACTACTACTACTACTACTACTACTACTACTACTACTACTACTACTACTACTACTACTACTACTACTACTACTACTACTACTACTACTACTACTACTACTACTACTACTACTACTACTACTACTACCAATAGCACCACCAGCAGTACTACAACAACCGCTATGAGAACTACAACATCACACTCTACTTACCGAATCCTTGCTGTCTATCCGCCTGCCAGGACCTCCTACAGTGTGACGTCTAGGTATTGGTCGCTTCTCTGGTGCAGCCCTGTACTGCTCCTCCCCATTAGTAGCACGCAGACCAGAAAACGACCCCACACCATAATCTGGTCTGGACTCGTAGTTCCTTGGAATACTCCCAAAACGAGACTGTCCAGCCACAGCCATCACGTAAGCACCAGAATCTGATTCATATCCCAGAGGCACACTCCCTGCTCTGACACTCCGAGGATACCCGGCGCCGTCTCGGTATCTCCCGTTCTCGCTATCACTGAAGTAATGAGTAGACGAGCTGCCATTCCGGATCACATTATAGAGGGAATTCTGGGAGTCGTGACCTGACGGTGCCCTTGGGTCGCTGTACTTATTTCCAACTCCATAGATGTCATTGCTGTAGCCGGTCGTTCCGTGGCTGTTTTTATTATAATTTATCGTTGCATAGTTGCTTCTCCCGATGTTGGGATCTCTGTCTTTATTGCTCACCGAAAACCCCAAATGCGATTCTGCTTTTCTGGCAAGCGATCCTAAATCTTGAGCGTCATTATAGAAGACGTTCTGCTGCTTTGGAGTGCTGCTGTTGGTTCTCCGAGGAAAGGAACCAAAACCGTACGGATTCTCTTCTGCTGGAGTTGCTGACCTTGAGTTTCGAGGAAGTGATCCGTAGGTTTCATCAAAAAACGGTGCAGCCCTTCCTTGCAGGGAAGCAGCCCTGGTTGGACGACGGCTCTGGCGGATATATGGCTTGTCATGAGGCTGGGTGTCAGTTGGGTTGTAGTTCTGACCACCAATGTTCTGCTGGTGAATCATACTAGCACCAGATGTTGACTCGTTGTTGTGGCTGTCTTTCAGAATTCCATGAAGAGGAGGCTCTCCTGGTGGTTGGTGGTTAACTCTCTGGCCGTTATGTTTAGGATCAGGCGATGCTATTCTTTGCCCTGTTGACGGTTCTGATTTGTCTGAAACCACCTGCAATTCTGGTTCACGACTCACTTTCTCTTCCGCGCCTTTTGGTTGACTAGATACAGAACTTACAGCTTGCGACGATGATACTACAATGTTGGATGAAGACACACTGTTATCTTCTTTTGCAGGAAGATGCTCTTTCGCCTCATTGCTTCCATTTGTGTGTCCATTTTGTTTAGTGGATGGAGGATCTTCCAGATTTGACATTTTCTCTACAACTTGTGTTCCCTTTGTCTCATTGTCTGTTTTATGACTGTTGCCCAGACTTACATTCTCGCTCTTTTGCTTGTCTTTGGATGACTTCTTATTGAAAGACTTGGACTTGGAGACGGTTCGTGTTTCCTGCCTCTGAAGAACTTTACTGGAAGATCTTCCTGTGCAGCCATCCTTGCAGCCCTTCTTCAAAGAGGTTCCTAGGTACAACAAGATCAGGAAGGCAATTAATTAGAATCGTATAAGTAATTTCGGAAAACATATATAATTAACAGTGAACTGCATTTCATTTCAGTGCTTATATTAACATAAGATATTTCATAATAGAAGAGCCTGAGCTAAGTTTCAAGAACCGACATAATAACACTCAGGACATTCCCATATGTGCTTTGACCTCATCTTTAGCAGCCAGCGAAGAGTTCCAACTCCGATGGTACCAGTAGCAAACAGAAGAAATAAAAGATAAATGAATGTTGGTTTTGAATCTTCTGACTGCTAACCTGGTGGTGCTAGTTTAAACTGTTCTCCAGTTGTGATCTATATATATATATATATATCACGTGCAACAGCAACGCATAAAGGGCAGTAATGCATAGTAACATGATTATCTACCATGTATGTCGTAGGTGGCGACGAAGGAGGGTGGCTGACCTGAGACTAGTTACTTCCACCAGTAGAAGCGAAATAAAATTGTTCTTGTTATTTTTTCTTTGCGTTCACCAGCTGTAATCTTCGATGAAATGTTGTGGTTGTTCGTCCATTTCTAGAATTTAGATTTGTTCAGGAATCTTAGTTTTGCGTGCACATCCGTTTAACTGATATGGGTTACTTGAACGCAGAATGTCGGTTCATTGTCTCTCAGGCAGATGCACTGTGTCTTCAAATGAAAAATCAATAATTAGCAGCCTTTTACGACATACATGTTTGAGGGCTCAAGAATATCTTTTTTTAGTATCCAGAAGCCATGAGTTGTTAACCCTTATGCTCGGTATTATGGATATCGCAACCCTTCGGCCTTGATTCCTTGTTGGATACCGTAAATCTGGAAGAAATGTGGGTTTTCTGCCTACCGCCGGGCGTGACCCCGGACCACAATGAGTTAGTCACCCGGTTACCGCGTAGTCCGGTTTAGCCAACTACGCTAGCGAGCCGGGCAACTCCAGGAGATAAAAGGCTAGGCTCTTATTTTTATTAATCGCCATCTGTTCAAAGCAGGCCATTATTATGGCCACATATCAAGCGGACGGGCGTGATGACGGACGGACGGGCGTGCTGACGGACGGACGGGCGTGATGACGGACGGACGGGCGTGATGACGGACGGACGGGCGTGATGACGGACGGACGGGCGTGATGACGGACGGACGGGCGTGATGACGGACGGACGGGCGTGCTGACGGACGGACGGGCGTGCTGACGGACGGACGGGCGTGATGACGGACGGACGGGCGTGATGACGGACGGACGGACGGGCGTGATGACGGACGGACGAGCGTGATGACGGACGGACGGGCGTGATGACGGACGGACGGGAGTAATGACGACGGACGGGCGTGATGACGGACGGACGGGCGTGATGACGGACGGACGGGCGTGATGACGGACGGACGGGCGTGATGACAGACGGACGGGCGTGATGACGGACGGACGGGCGTGATGACGGACGGACGGGCGTTATGACGGACGGACGGGCGTGATGACGGACGGACGGGCGTGATGACGGACGGACGGGCGTGATGACGGACGGACGGAAGTAATGACGGACGGACGGGCGTGATGACGGACGGACGGGCGTGATGACGGACGGACGGGCGTGATGACGGACGGACAGGCGTGATGACGGACGGACGGGCGTGATGACGGACGGACGGGCGTGATGACGGACGGACGGGCGTGATGACGGACGGACGGGCGTGATGACGGACGGACGGGGCGTGATGACACGGACGGGCGGGCGTGATGACGGACGGACGGGCGTGATGACGGACGGACGGGCGTGATGACGGACGGACGGGCGTGATGACGGACGGACGGGCGTGATGACGGACGGACGGACGGGCGTGATGACGGACGGACGGGCGTGATGACGGACGGACGGGCGTGATGACGGACGGACGGGCGTGATGACGGACGGACGGGCGTGATGACGGACGGACGGGCGTGACGACAGGCGGACCGACAGCTGGATAAGTAATGTCATGGTGGAAGACCCCTTCCATTGGACATGTGCTTGACCTTATAGTACGTAGACCAATCGGCACTCGCTGGGTGATCACGTTAGCCAGCCACCTTGACTTCCCCGGACATTACACGGCATCCATTTTGGGCTGAGTCAATATGGAAGCCAAGGTCCGTTCTGGAAGGGGGGGGGGGGATTCCTTCTTCATGCGGATCCGAACTCTAGATCTTCGGGCCAGCAAGCCAGCCTCGGCATGACACTGGCTAACATGCAGACAGATGCTTAAACACGTCCTAACATCTGCTTGATAGAAACATTCAACAATGACCAACACTGCTGATACAAACTTCAACAATGACCAACAGTGAAAGCACAAATTTCAACAAAATGTCATTAGATACTTCACAACAGGAAATCATACAAGTAAAACGCGTGTATGTTTAAATAACAATTCCAGACTTGCAACTTTCCCACGTCGATTGAAAACAAAAGCATTCCACTTGTCAACTCCGCATTAGAATGACTCTAACAAGGGAAGTAACGCAGTCAACTCCGCATTAAAATGGCTCTAAAATGCACAGTTACGCAACGGCCAGGCGAGGACTGAAACACTATCGCTGTTGTTGCATTTCTCACACACTGCAGCCGCAGAGGACTAGGCACTCCATGGTTTCTTTGTAGAAGTTAGTGCCTGCTGAGAATGGAGAGAATGAAAGGGCGTGACAGAATCACTAATGAGAAGCTTAGGGGGAAAACTGAACAAATGCCAGTGAATCAAGAGGTGAGGAAAATACGCTGGTTGTGGGTAAGGCCACACGGCGAGAAAACATGATAATGGAGTACCTGAAATGTCCTTTTGTTAACTCTTGGCCTGCCAGGCGACAAGAAATGAAACAAACGGATATGTTAGATCAACTTATGCGGTGCTTATCCAGAAAATTAACCTCATTTTCGAGTATCAAGAAGGAAAAAAATGACAACAGTATAATTAGACTGTTCTTTCATTGGACCCCCCCCCCTTTTTCCCCCCTCCACGGGGACTGCAAGAGGTGGCGAAATAAAAAAAGATTAACATCAGTTCGTTGAGAACCCATGTTCTTCGTCACTTTCATCTCCTTCCTCTTCTTCTACATTGGCAAGTTATAATTGTGGATTACAGCTAGGCTGTGATATCTGTGCTTTTCAAGAATTAAAATTTCGACAACGCGATGGAAATAATACACACTAAGGCTAATTGCAATAATTGATCAGCTCTAGCCACCACTCAAACATACAAGTATCAACCAACAAGGAACCAGATAACAGCATATATCTATATCAACTCTGTTACCAATGTCAGATCAGCTAATAAGCAAAGCTGACAACAGAATGATCACAGTTGGTGGGATCCGATGCTAGAGAAGAAATTTCAATGGGTCTCCGTGGCGAAGTGTTCAAGCCGTTAACCACGCGATTTGAATGTCGTGGGTTCGTTTAACGAGTGAAGTTGTTACGGATATTGTTTGGGGTCGTCAATGGAGATTGTACTTTGTGCGACTCTCTCAGCCAAGCAATTCTGAAAAACCGCTTGCTGAACTGTAACTAAATCAGCAAAACGAGAAGAGCCGGACTAAGAAATTACGATGAAGCAGCAGCAGCAGCCTGCATTTGTAACACTGCGGGACAGAGAGAAGGACGGTTTGATTATCTTGTAAGGATGGGATATGCAAAACCTACACCTGTAAACCTAAAACGAGTGAACAATCGGCTCTCCTCCGAATGATGGGTCTCAATGATCGCGTTTAAAAGTATACCATAACAGGCCCTCAATGGGTAATCGACTGGAAATAGTTAAAAAGTGGGAGCACAAATATAAAGATCAGGAACATTTGCACATACTCACCAATAACAGTTAACAATTACATGTAGAGTTCATCCATACACGTTTAATTGTTTGGGTTTAAGGTTAGGGTTAGAATCTGTCACAATAGTCAAACCGCAACACTAACGACATCGGACGTTTGCAACAAGAACATTCTAGTGTGACTTGTATTAATCCGCTGCCTGCCATATTTGCCGGAAAAAAATCCTAATTTTACAAATCATTGAGGCCCTGTTAGGGTATTCAGACCCATCATTCGGAAGAGAGCCGAACGATGTCATAAAGAGCCAAAAAAGGCTACAGCGTGGCGGAATTAACAAAATGAGTTTTACTTTCGTAGAGGCAGACTCACATTAGTCAGCAGAAGCCACCTGACACTGGGACATAACTTGCAGCTCCCCACAACCAGAAGCCACCTGACACTGGGACATAACTTGCAGCTCCCCACAACCAGAAGCCACCTGACACTGGGACATACACTTGCAGCTCCCCACAACCAGAAGCCACCTGACACTGGGACATAACTTGCAGCTCCCCACAACCAGAAGCCACCTGACAGTGGGACATAACTTGCAGCTCCCCACAACCAGAAGCCACCTGACACTGGGACATAACTTGCAGCTCCCCACAACCAGAAGCCACCTGACACTGGGACATACACTTGCTGCTCCCCACAACCAGAAGCCACCTGACAGTGGGACATACACTGCTGCTTTCCCACAACCAGAAGCCACCTGACACTGGGACATACACTTGCAGCTCCCCACAACCAGAAGCCACCTGACACTGGGACATACACTTGCTGCTCCCCACAACCAGAAGCCACCTGACAGTGGGACATACACTTGCTGCTCCCCACAACCAGAAGCCACCTGACACTGGGACATACACTTGCTGCTCCCCACAACCAGAAGCCACCTGACAGTGGGGACATACACTTGCTGCTCCCCACAAC